ATCGCTGACCATGAGCCTGCCGTCTTCACTCGTACTTCCGTCATCAGCCTCGTCAACCACTTCTCTGTTGTCACTTCGGTCAGTGTTCTGGGGGGAAAGCAAAGCTTCATCTTCATTTTCAGCGTCAGCGCTTTTCGCGTTGATTTCTGAATGATTTGGTCCGCTCATCTGAAATGATCTGGATTCAGTAGTTGGCAAGCCAGATTGGCGATTGCAGGTAACCCGACCTCTCACGACAAGTGACCATATCTAAACTAAAACACACCCAGACATTCTGGCGTGAAGTGATCAATTGATATGAAATATGGACAAGCAAGGCGATAAGACTCTGTTCATATGCAGTTCATAGTTAGAAATGAGGAGAATCAGCGCACTATATACTTATCGACTAGAGGTGTCAGAAGTTGGACATGACCAGGTTCGATGCAGATTTTTTCATCAGAAAATTCGTGCACCCACTTGCATTTCCCTAGAGTACGTTCCAACACAAGCTCGAGCGTTCCATCTTCAACGATGCTCACCTGTGCTCTCGTTGATCACCGAACTGCTTGATCAGGTGGAAGTAACGTCTCCATTTGCCTCTGTAACGTTCAAGACTTGCCCAATGTGTTCTCGGATTTGAAGGACTCGACGAACATCCTGCCATTCGCTCCGAGCTTTCACGAAGAAATCTGACCATAGCGTAGCCATCGTCCAAGTGCTGTTCTGGCATCCTGTTGACACCCCCCCCACAGCCATCTTCAAAACCTATGACGCGTCCGGCCCAACTCATCTTAGAAACCATGGCAAACTCTGCTGCGTCCCTGATCTTCGGTCGTCGAGTGCGGAGCTCCGGATTCCCTCCACCATCTATTGCGTCCCCCGTAGCGGGGAAAACATTTCTTCTCCGCTCTGGACAATTCCATGCATCGAATGGAATGAAAAGATAAGGAAGTCAAGATTGGCTTCTTACAGACAAGACCCTGCAAACGATAGGACGTATGACGCGGCGTGGATTGGAGCGAAGGCAGGGCGTCCTTTTACCACCAATGATGTCATCCAGCCCGACACAGTTGGTGAGAAATCTGCCCTGGCTACGCCCCAAGCCACGCCCTCGTCACGCCCTATCGTTTGAAGAGATCATGATTGTGCACCACCATGACCTTGCCGAAGTCCTACTTATAACACCAACACCGAAACACACCGAGCATCGAGCAAGGGAATAAATGCTCTGATTTCCACTCGTGTAGACATGCAGGTTTGCAGTTGGACTTGATAGCGACGATATTTACGATGAACGGATGGCTTCCTGATGCCCTGGGCTCTTGCCTCAAAGACGCCTTGACGACATGCTTACGTGCGAAATAAATACTCAACATGTGCAAGATGAACAACTTCCCAGATAGGCCCTGGAAATGTGGCCCTGGAATAAACGCAGGAAAAAAAACTGATGTGGTAGCTCAATTTTCTTTTGTGTCTCCACATGCCGTTCATAACATGCAGCGTACACGCCGATACCAAGAACCCGTAGCGAACACAGTGGTAAACCAAATTACGGCAGCCGATATGAGAGGCGAGAACAACGCGCAGCGACAGTAAGAGGTCACAAGCGGCCGTGCACTTTTCTGCGCCGAGCTGGCTGCGTATTGGTGAACCACGTAGCGGTTGCGTGTCTATGGTACGATGCGCGCACGCGCAGCCATACGAGAACATCCAGTCATTTACATGTACATATTACATAAATACATACACATTACATCCACCACCCACCCCACGCATTCTAGGGCTATTGCACAAATTTACTCAAAATTCTCTGTCGAATTGCATCTCCGTCAACTCGCCTCATTGCGTGAGCGGATTTAAAATTTCAATAAAGGATTTATTGACCACCGGGTAATAAAATCAAAGCAATATCACAATTTGCAACAATAACAACGAGTAACTGAAACAATCAACGATATAACTATTCAATAACAAACTTATTTTCATCTATTGACCTTAACTTCTGCTCAATTTCATCGCGTGTATAAATCTGAAAACCAGACCCGGTAAATACGAGCGAGAAACATAGTGGGAGGTAAATATCAAGCTAATAAGCTGCTCACCATTATAACTGGTAATCCCTGTACAATTTGAAAACCTGGTAGGGTTAGTATTGACCCAAATGTCGACCATTCCCAAACTTCCATAACATATTCATTCCACTCGTCTGATACAAACATGCGAACATTATCTAACCTGAAAAATGTCAATAGAGCTGTGTTCGCTGCGCATGAAGGGGCGTGTCAGGCAGGATGGGTTTGGCGATGCGCCAAACTTCCCTCCTGACAAGCCCCGTCATGCAAAGCGCACGACCGCAATCGAACTGCACGTGAATGCACCAACCAACGACAAAATCATTGGTATTAGACGGTTTAAAAGCATTTACAAGGAAAAAAGAGGAGCTATTGGAGCAGCTTTAGTTGGATTTCTATAGGGACAACTAGCCGCTTCAAACGCCCCAAAAAGAGGCCGCGCACACTCTTAGTCGTTTTTGTTGCTTAGGGCTGGGGTCGGGGGGGGGGGGAAGAAGGCAAGAATGATCAGCGTCTGAGAGAGGGCAGAGGAGCGGACTTGGTCGCGCCAACGCGTGACTTCTCCTAACTGCGGTAACTCCTCCTCCTAACTGTTACCAGAAAACTGTCCCAGAGCAAAGAAAATGGATGGATGGAATACATCAATTCACCTGAATTTATGATCTTTATCCCATTCTGCAGGAGTTTCTAACATTGGTCGTAAAACGGATCCAACTTGAGCTGTTTCGTCACAATCCGTCAATACATCTACTTGTCCTACCTGAAAAATTCTGCAATTTATGGGATTAAATGCTTATGAAAAGTACCATTTCTTTTCTAGGCCAAGTTCGTACTTTGCTAATGTGAAGAACTCACGATTTGAGAGAATCGGCGGCCAAAACTAGATGACATGACAATTTTTTCCGAATGTCAAATTCCACGAAAAGCGGGCAGAGTCAACCAGGGCTAATGCCGTTTGGACTACAGCGATTTCGGCACCGACCTCATTTCAAATTGCCTAAGTGAACAAATCCGCTAAAAACTTTGCATTTAGGCGGTAACATCCCTGATATACTGATGTGGACATTCCTCTCGCGCCTGGCGCTATGGGATAATGACACTACGATATATCTGCGCTCGCAGGCTGAGCCCAAGAGGTAATCGTAGTGTCATCCCTTGGCGCCAGCGCCAAGAATGAGTGTCATAATTGTAATCACGATGGTAAATAACCCTTGTGTACATGTTTTCAGCGGGTTTGGTGACTTAGGCAATTTAAAAATGAGCTCGGTGCCGAAATTGCTGGAGTCAAAGCAAACGGCATTAGCCGTCAACCAGCTGCCGCGTGATTCCCGACGATTCTCCCGAACTGTGTATTATCAACATTTACAAAGTATGAACACGGCCTTACGCTGCATGAATGGGTTGTCTTGATTTTAGGAAAACTTCAACATAGCCTTTGCCTAAGACATCTCAGCTTACGAACCTGAGGGTACTGTATCAAAAAAGGCCATTGAAGATTGCCATCTTGATTGAAAGATACACGATAGTGCTGAAATGAACGGCTTTGAGCAAGCTGCTAAATATCATTTGCCAGAGTCAAAAGCCTCACCTCTGAAGTCTGTGCAAGGCTAACTTCAAGTAATGACCAATCCATAAGTTCAGGACGACTAAACGGAAGACGAGGACGAAAGTTGAGTTTCCTATCAGATAAAGCTTTCAAGAGCCGTCGTTTCTCTTCCAAATCCTTCTTTTCCTGAAAACTTTTCAAGTAAATAAGAAAACTTCTCATAAAAACCCATGAAACTGCAGTGAAAGCATGGGCCCAATTCAACTCACTTCGGCACGAGCTTTTCGTTTGTTCCGTTCCTCGACCAGAACAGCTTTGACAGCTTTTTCTTTAATCTGTTCTAAGGAGTCGAGCTGCTTCTTTTCTGCTTCGGTGACATTACCTGGAAGGAAAGTTACCTTGGCGCCACTGTAGTTGAGTGGGTGTTCACGTTGCGGTGCGACGGTAAACCGCAGAAAAGACTTAGGCCTGTTGCCCGGGCTGGGCTAAGCCTTGGCTTCAGGAAGGGTAACAGAGGTGGTGCCAAGTATTCCACCCGTTTCCCCCCAACTGCGTCAGCGCAGAAAAATGAATGGTTCTAGGTATTTTGGCATCGGAGGTCGCACCGTTTTATACCGCCAAAGCCCCTCGTGCAAGTGAGGAGAGCTACTCCAACCAACTATTGCACCAAAATGACTCTAGGAACCACAAGCAACAAACAATCATAATCGCGGAAAAGGGCTCTCCCTCAAATAGCGAGAAAACGTGAGGGACAATTTGTTTGTTTATATAATTGTGGGCGCAGAGAGCTTACATATAAATAAACAAACAAAGAGGAGCCAGAGAAACTCGTGAAGTTGATCTTTCCGAGCTTTTCCTACGCGCCTATACAACTCATCACTGACCCTACCTTCTTCTTCAGTTTCCTTAGTGAATGCAAAAGTTTTCTTGGCTCTTTCAATCCAGTCTACACATTGCTGAGCATATTCAAGTTCCAAAAGACACTCTGCACCTCTGTTCGCAGCCTGAATTGTGCAAGAGCCTAAGATAGGACGTTTACTTGTTCACAAGAAGGGAAACCAACCTTCAGGTTTCTAGGATCAAATTTCAAAGCCATAGCACAGTCCTTTATCGCAGACCGTCGATTACCGATGTGTTTTTGAGCAGCCGCCCGATTACCGTAAAGCACAGAGTTCAACTTAAGGTCCATGCACTGCAGTTTGATACCTGAATAATGATATTAAATTAAAGTGTAGCCAAATTTTAACCTGAAGATATCGGCGGAGACCAGATCTTGACTAGCTCTAAATGATTCAGGCATGGAGTTTCATACCTTCAGAATAACAATCCGTAGCCCAGCGGTACTTTTTGAACTTAAAGTGCTTATTGCCCTCCTCTTTATGCCGCTCAGCACTCAGTTGCTTATCTTCCATATCATCTTCATCATATTTCAATGCCTACAAGAAGTAGTTGCAGAATTGACCACAACAAGGTATTAAAATTTATGAAACGACATTCTCAACGACTGTAACTTCATGTAAAAAATTCTTTGAAGAAGACAGCTTCTTAGTCGCCAATGCGCTGCCGTACGCTGGCTTACGCTCAAACGCTGACGCAAAGCATGGACGCATTCTCTCTAGTACC